TCGGCGCCTCCGTCGGCCGCGGCGTCGGGCAGCCACTCAGCGAGCTCTTTCCGGCAAAGAGGAAGAGGCGGCCGCCGCCCGCGGCGCCGACGCTGTCGCAGTCGTCGTCGTTGCAGACCGCCGCGAAGGTGACGTTGAAGCCGGACCGCGGCGCGCTGTCGAAGAGGAGCATGACCGCGCGGTTCGACTGATCGACCGGGAAGTGCTCCGGGTACACATCGCAGGAGCTGAAGCCCTTGTCGGCGCACGCGGCGCAGTCGATGACTGTCAAGGCCATGGGGTCCTCGCCGTCGCCCGCCGTCGGGTTGTCGCAGAGGAAGCCCGGCTTCAGCGCTTCGAAGCGCGTCGACGTCTTGCCCGGTTCGCCCAGGCAGCCTGTCGCCGCCGCCGTCGCCGCGAGGTCGCCCGACGCCACGCCCGGGGCCACGAAGCGGTCGAAGCCGTCGTCATCAATACACATCTCCTCGCCGCGGTCCCAGCTGCCCTGGGACGCGCCCCCATGGTGCTTGTCGAGGTCGAAGATCGTAAAATAGAAGTCTCGGAGCTGGATCGCCGCGCCGGTCTCGGAGTCGCGGAACGAAAAGGCGAGCGTCGCCTCGGACCCTAGGGCGACGTTGACGACGCCGTAGGCGCCGTCCTTGCCGTTCTTCGACGGGTCCGACGCGTCGTAGAAACCGCCGACGACGGACGTGGCGACGTCGAAGCTCCGGCCGTTCGAGACGCCCGCGCTGGCGTAGACGACCTCCTCGGCGGCTCCCAGGTCGGGCCCGAACCCGCCGAGGTTGCTCGACGCGACGTCGCTCGCGAGGAAGTTGAAGTCGACGCCGCCGTCTTCCAGGCAGTCCGGCGGCCAGTAGATCGTGGGCGCGGCCGTCGGCGCGGCCGTCGTCGGAGTCGCGCTGGGGCAGCTGGACGGCGCCGCCGACGGCGGAACGGACACGCTGGGCGCGACCGTGGGCGCGCGGTCGAACGTTCCGTCGACGATGCAGAACGAGTAGCGCGTCCGCCCGTCGAGAGCGACGACGATTGCGTCCCCGTCCGCCGTGGACACTTCGAAGCTGCGGGTGGCGTCCGCGGCGTCGTACTCGTAGTTCCAGTCCCAGCAGCTGCTCGTGTCAGGCACGCAAGCGTACTCGACGTCGGCTCGCGCGCCGCTCTCCGTCCCGAGGATCGTCGTGCCGTCCCCGTCGAGCGTGAAGGTCTCGGTGACACCGTCCCAGCTCGCGCCGTCCGGGAAGAAGCGCCGGCGTAGGAGAATCGGGTCCGAGTCAGGACATTCGGGCGACGGTGAGAGCGTTGGAATCGAGGATGGCATGCGCGACGGCGTGGCGCTCGGCGAGGAGCTCGGAAGCGAGGACGGCGCCGCGCTCGGCGAGGGGGATGGCGCAGCGGACGGCGTCGAGCTCGGGGACGAGGACGGCGTCGCGCTCGGAGGGGTCGACGGAGTCGCGCTGGGGCAGCTGGACGGCGCCGCCGACGGCCGGCGCGTCGTCGGCACGAGCGTCGTCGGCGCGTAGGTCGAGGGCGCGAGAGTCGGCGAGCTCGTGCAGCCGCAGGCGTGGCGGCAGGCGTCGTGGGCCGTGAAGCCGTCCTCGCCGGCGACGTCGCAGCGCTGGGGCCACTCTGAGACCCAGTCGCAGTCCTTCGAGGGCTCGCCCCGCTTGTGCCAGTTCCGGTTGTCGACGCAGCCGGGCTCGTAGGACGGCCGCGCCGTCGTCGGAGCCGCGGTCGGGACCGTGTGGAGCTCGCCGTCCTCCAAACAATACGAGAACGTTTCCTCGTCTTCGCCGCCGCGGAAGGAAAAATGGTGGTTCGACGTGAGCCCCCGGTACTCGAAGGATAGGTCGCCGGACGTCGACGGGTCGCCGAAGGTGAACACGACGTCGAAGCAGTGGTCCTCGGCGGGCACGCACTTGTAGGCGCGGTCCGCGTGTGGCGGAGCGGCGCTGTCGACGACGACGCCTTCCGACGCGGCCTCCCAGGACACGTTGCCCCAGCGGGCCCCGTCGGGGTAGAGGCGCATGGAGAAGAGGAGCGCGCCATCATTGCCGCCGCAGAACAAGGACGGCGCGGCGCTCGGGGAGGACGTCGTCGGGGACGCGGTCGGCTCCGGGGACGGCGCGGCGCTCGGGGAGGACGTCGTCGGGGACGCGGTCGGCTCCGGGAGGTCCTCCGGGGTACAGGAAAAGCACGTCGCGTCGCAGCCGACGCGCGCGGATATGCCGGCGTCGTCCTCCTTGGAGTCGCAGCGGCCGAGATTTTCGCCGACCCAGGCGCAGCCCTTGTTCGGCGACCCGCTCTTGTGCCAACTGGTGGAATCGGCGACGCAGCCGTGCGGGGTCGGCGCCGTCGTCGGGTCGGGGAGCGCCGCGCCGGCGTCGTCGCTGGGCGTGCAGGCGTAGCACGTGGCGTCGCAGCCGACGCGCGCGGAGACGCCCGCGGCGTCCTCCTTGGAGTCGCAGCGGCTCAGGTCGCCCGCGACCCAGTCGCAGTCCTTGCCGGGGGACCCGCTCTTGTACCAACTGGCGGAATCGGCGACGCACTCGTGGGGTGCTGCCGTGATGGTCGGCGCGGGCGACGGCTGGTTGAGGGCGCAGTAGGCCTCGACGTCGTCGTCGGAGACGTAGTCGATGTAGTGGAGCAAGCCCGAGGTGAAGCACGGCTCGGACGTCGTCACGTAGTACTGCCCCCCCGCGGAGATGTAGTGGAGGTAGTAGTTCTGCGAGTTGGCGTAGGAGCAGCGCTCCGTGCAGCAGTAGAGGTCGCCCGTGACGTCGCGGATCTTCTCGAAGCGCTCGTAGCCGTCGATATCCATGAAGTCGCAGCAGTACTTGGCCTTGCCGCATTTGTTTTTCTCTTTCGTGGGCGTCTGGGACGGTGCGGCGGTCGTCGGCGCCATGGAGAAGCTCGGCCGGGGCGTGGAAGACGCGTAGAGGGAGACTTCCAGATAATTTCCGACGACTTCAAAGTACGCGGACATGGGTTGCGACGCCGCTTCGACGCCCACGTCCAGCATGATGCTCTCGCCGTCCTTCAGGAGCACGTCGTACAAGGAGGCGGTGTCCGGGTGGCCGTCGACGACGAGCGTGTTGCCGTACTTGCCCGTCATGCCGGAGGCGTAGCTGAAGGAGCTCCAGGTCAGCAGCGCGCCCGCGTGCGCGGACCGGAACTCGACGAAGAGGTGGAAGTCCTCCGTCGCCGTGCCCACCATGAGCGCCACGGGGTAGCCCGGTTCCAAAAATCCCGCGTCCGTCGCCTGGATCGTGTACGCGCAGGGGCTGCAGAGCGGGGACTCGTCGTCGTCGTACGGCTCCACGGTTTCGACGTACTTCGTTAACAACCAATCGAACACGGCCTTGCCCTCCACCGTGAAGTGGTTGGACAGATCGTCGGCGCTGATGGTGCCCGCGCCCATGGGCGAAAACATATTGCCGTACTCGACCCAGTCGTCGTCGTCGTCGTACCACGCGTTGACGCCGCCGACGTCGTCGACGTCGTTGCCGACGTAGGACGCGTGGCTCGCGCCGAAGTTGTGGCCCGTCTCGTGGACGAAGCTCGAGTCGTAGTTCGTCGCGGCGAGGTTGATGAACGCGCCGGGCTGGGCGACGTAACCCGAGCCCCTGGCCACTTTCGTCGGGCAGTAGGGGGCGACGACGACGTTGAAGTCGTAGGCCTCGCGGTCGTAGCCCTCCGCGAGGGACGCGTGGGCCGCCAGGACGTCGAAGGCCGCGGGGTCGCCGTCGTAGCCGCCACTGTGCCAGTCGAGCATGTCGTGGTCGTCGCAGGTGTCTTGGTCGTAGTCGACCTCGAGGATCGGCGTGATCGTCACGTCGACGGTGAAGTTGCCCCAGCTGTTCACGGTCCAAAACGCCTGGGCGACGTCGACGACCTCCTCGAGGTAGGAGATCACGTCGCCGCCGTGGTCGCTCGCGATGAGCGCGTAGTCGTAGGCCGTCGCGCAGTCGTCGCTCGACGGGCAGATGACGGACACGAGCATCGTCTTCGCGCCGACGATCTTCTTCGAGTACTTGTCGGCGACGCGGGCGACGGCGCGGGGCCGCCCGGCGGCGAGGCGCGCGAGCGAGCCGCTCTCCGGGAGGGCCTCCGCGGCGGCCTCCGCGGCGGCGACGGAGGGGAAGGGCACGTCGCGCTCGCCGCCGCCGGAGCAGAGCGCGCGGCGGCCGCGCTCCCGGCAGCGCGCGGTGCCGCCGGCGGTGACGAAGACGCCGTCGACGACGGCGCCGACGGCGGGGCGGCCCCGCGCGGGGCCCTCGACGCCCGGGCCCGCGTAGGGGAGGATCGACGACGAGCCGTCCGCTTCGAGGAGCCGCGCGGTCGTCTCGGTCCGCGACCGCGACCGCGCGTCCTCGCGCCGCCGCGGCGTCTTGACCTCGACGATGAAGTCCGCGGCGCCGACGAAGCCGCGGTCCGCCGCGCAGCTCGCGGGGAGGTCGGGCTCCGCGCCGCGGAGGCCGTCGAGCGCGAACGACGCGTCGACGGCGGCGGCGTAGTCGCCCGCGGCGACGAGGGACCGGAGCGCGCGCAGGCGCGCGTCGCAGGTCTCCTCCGTCGCGTTGCGCAGGACCGCGTCGTGGGTCCGCTGCGCCGCCTCGGGCAGGCGCCGCGCGACGACGCTCGACCGGCGCCGCTCAGCGAGGCGGCGGCGCAGCGCCGCGGCGGCGTGCGCTGGCCGCGGCGGCGCGGCGGCCGCCGCCGCGCATAGGAGGGTTAGAGCGACGATGAAGCGCATGGGTGACACGCGTCCGTGACACCGGTGAGCTGCCCCATCGTCATGGAAGAGCTCACCTTTGATCGCCCCATCGTCAGCTTAATGATAATCGAGGACGATTCGAGGTGCCAAAGTTTCCGATAGTGATTAATATTGAAGGGCAAGTAGAAGTTGTTTGAGATCGAGCTGCCCCTCTCCGCGGCGTCTGGGAGCTCCCCGAGCCTCGTCCCTGCGCCCCTCTCCAGCCCCCTCTGCCAGCGAGTGCACCACCATGTCGGACCCTTGGGTGGAGCAGATCAACCTGGCGCAGGCGAAGCGCGACGAGGGCGACCTCCCCGCCGCTAAGGCGCTGTACGAGAAAGTGCTTGTGGGCTGCAAGAAGCAGTACGGGACGGACCATCCGAACGTGGCGCTGGTGCAGAACAAGCTGGCGTGTCTGCTCTACAGTCAGCGCGACCTCGCCGCCGCGGAGCCGCTGTTCCGACGGGCGCTCGCGATCGGCGAGAAGCAGCACGGGCTGCGCGTCGCGTTAGATATCGAGAACCTGGCGGCGGTGCTCTGGGCCCGAGGCGAGCACGCCGAGGCGGAGCTGCTCTTCCAGCGGGCGATCGCGATCCACAAGGACCCCGAGTACGTCGCGCGCCTGGAGAAGCAGTTGGCCACGGTCCGCAGCCGCATCGCGAAGATTTTGGAACGCGGGGGCGAGAAGAGCCTGAAATTTGCGAAGTCGCTACACGAGCTGGCTTTTGACAAGTACAAGGAGTACGACTTCGCCGCCGCGGAGCCGCTGTGCCGGCGGTCGCTCGAGATCCGCGAGAAGCAGCTCGGGCCGGACCACGCGGACGTCGCGGAGTCGCTGAGCTTACTGGCCTTTCTGCTCGAGGCGAAGTTCGACTGGGCCGCCGTGGAGCCGCTAGTCCGAAAGGCGCTCACCATCGAAAAGAACCTTCGCGGCTCCTTAGACCACCCGAAGGGCGCGACGTTGCTGGCCCAACTGGCGCACGTGCTCAGCTGTTTAGACAAATGGGCTGACTCGGAGCAGGTGCTCCTGCGCGCGATCGCGATCTTCAAAAAGTTTGGCTCCGTTCCCGCGAGAGCGGAGGGATTGTTGCGCTTCGTCCAGAAGAAGCTACAGCTGCAGGAGCGCCCCGCCGTCGCCGCCGCCGCGCCGCCGCCGGCGAAGCGGCAGAAGCGGAGCGAGGAGGACGACGGCGCCGCGGACCGCGGCGAGGACGACTGCGTCAGCACGGGCTCCCAGTCCCAGGAGGAGCGCGACGCGGAGCTCAAGCGCAACGCGATCGCCGTCGATGAATCGGACGCCGAGGAGGGCGCGCGGCCGACGCGCGCGAGCGCGCTCGAGGACCAGCTCAAGGAGCTGCGCGTCAAGGGCGTCGAATTCGACATCGCCGCGGCTTTGTACTGGTGCAAGAAGAACGGCGCGGACGAGCTCTCCGAGATCGTCGAGGCGGACATGGTCGATGACTTCGTCGCGAGCCTCTCGCTCACCGGGAAGCCGCTCCTGCCCGTCAAGGCCGGGCTCTTGAAGAAGCGGCTCCGCGCCGTCGTCGCCGGCGGCTGATCGCGGCCGCGGACCGTAGAACTCGTGTGTAGCGACTCTCGGGCAGATACGCCGCTACCGCGCGGGGGGGGGATTGTCGGCGGGGGATCGCCACAGCTCTCGAGAAGATCTCACTTGCACTTGCGTAGTACACTCGTGCCACCCTCCAGCGGCAGCACCTACACACCGTACGCGGCAACGCCGCGGCGACCACCCCAGAGGAGAAACACAAGCAAAGGGGCGCGTAAATGTTTAGGCCCGAGAAAGGCGCGGGCAGGGGATGGGGGTGGGGGGTTGGTGGGGGGGATGATCGGGGGCCGCCGCCGAGTCACTCCTCCTCCGCGTCGGAGGACTCGATGGCCGGGAGGGGCCCGAGGAACTCGAGGACGAGGTGCTGGGCGTCGCCGGCGTCGTTGCGCTGCACCGACGCGCGGTAGAGGTCGTCGGAGGCCATCGCGGGCACCGCGGCGAGGAGCGCCTTCTTCCGCGCGTCGACGTCCGACGGCGCGTCCGCGGCCGGGTCCTCGGCGAAGAGGGCCTTGAGCGTGTCGTCGGCGGCGAGGGCGCGCATGGCGTCGACGGTGGCGCGCGCGAGGCGGTCGAGCGCGCGGACGCGGTAGCCGTCGTTGCCGAGGAGCGCGCGGCACGCGTCGTCGAACGCGGCCTTGGTGACGTCGCCGCAGAGGAGCATGGCGACGAGCTCGAGGAAGCCCGCGTAGCCCCGGGCGCAGCAGCGCTCGACCTCGCTGCCCGTGCCGTCGTCGCCGCCGTCGTCGCTCTTCCGGCCGCCGTCGCCGTCGTCGTCCGCGCGCGCCGCGGGCTCGCCGTCGTCGTCCGCGCGGATCGCGTCCGCGACGTCGTGGGGCTCGGCGGCGCGCCGCCGCTGGCGCGCCGTCTCCGCCTCGCAGAGGGCCCGCGCGTCGGCGAGGCGCGCGTAGACCATCTGGTGCAAGCGCGCGAAGACGTAGACGCGCTCGTTCGCGAGCGCGGCGCCCGCTTGCGCGAGCGCGGACCGCGGCGGCGCCACGAAGGGCACGCCGGGCGCGGCGTCGTCGGCGGCCGCGGCGCCCTTGGCGGCGCCCCGCTTCTTCTTCGAGCCGCCGCCCTTCTTGGAGGCCTTGGACGCGGGCTTGGGCGACGACGCCTGCGCGGCCTCGACGGCCGCCGCCGCGGCGTTCGACGCGTCCTCGGCGGCGAGCGCGTCGGCGAGGGGCGCCATGTCCAGGTCGTCTAAAGCGAAGACGTCGCGGGGCCGCAGGAAGCGCGGCCCGTCGGCGAGGCGCACCTCGTAGCAGCAGTCCGCGCGCGCCTCGGCCGCGGGCGCGGGCGCGTCGCCGAGCGACTCGAGCGACGCGGACCGGGGCCGCGGCGCGGCGGAGTCGCCGTCGTCCGGCGCCTCCGTGACGCCCTCGCCGGAGCCCGCGTCGCCGTCGTCCGCGCCCTCGACGGCCGCGCCCTCGGGCGCGTCCGCGTGGAACGCGACGACGACCGCGTCGCCGCGCTTCGTGATGACGCGACTGCCCCGGGGCAGCGGCTGGCGGTCCGCGCCCTCGGACGCCTCGCCGGAGTCCGCCGCGCCCCGCGACAGGCCCGCGGGCAGGTGCGCCGCGAGGCACGCCGTCGGCAGCCCGTAGAGCTCGAAGACGAAGTCGCGCCAGACCTCGCGCGCGACGACCTTCTGCTCCGCTAAAGGCGTCGACGAGTGCTCCAGCGCGAGCATGAGCACGCTCACGACGTCCTTCTGGATGTCGCCGTCGCCGACGGCGTAGGTCAGCGACGCGACGGGCGCGTCGGCCGCGCCGATGGGCTTGAACGACGCGCCGCCGTCGTCGTCCGGGGGCCCGTCGTCGTCGGCGCCCGTGATCTCCTTGATCTCCTGCACGAGCCACTTGCTCGAGCAGCGCTTCTTGTCGAGCGCGCGCCAGAAGTGGGCCCGGTGGTCGAGCGACTTGGCAAAGTGGCCGCGGACCTTGCGGCGCCAGCGGCGGCTCAGGCCCACGCGCGCGGCGCGCCACTCGAAGTCCTTCTCGCGGAGGCGCTTCGCGAGGATGCCCGCCGCGACCTGGGGCGCCTTGTAGAGCGCCGCCAGCGCGTCGGCGTCGCGGTCGCCGTAGACGCGGCAGATCGCCGCGACGTGGATGGGACTCAGGCCCCGGCGGAGGAGCGCGCGCGGGCCGACGCCGCCGGGCGGGCCGGCCTCGGCGCCGTCGAGGAAGGCCTTCTCCGCGGCCATGCGCTCGGCCTTGAGCGCGGCCGCCGCGTCGCGCCGCTCGCGCTCCTCGGCGTCGGCCGCGGCGTCGTCGTCCGCCGCCGCGGCGGCGTCGTCGCCGCCGTCGACGTCCATCTGCTCGCCGTCGCCCTCGTCCTTGTCCGCCGCCGACGCCCGCTTCGGCCGCTTCGACTTGGGCTCGGCGGCCGGCGCCTTCTTCGCCGGCGCGCCGCGCTTGCCGCGGCCGCCGCGCTTCTTGGGCTTGGCCTCCTCGACGGCCTCCTCGGCGGCCGGCGGGCTCGGCGCGCGCGCGGGCGCGTCCGGCGGCGCGGGCGCGAACATGGCCACGGCGTAGGCGCCGTCGTCGTCGATGGCGACCTCGTTGGGCGGCGGGCACGCGGCGATGGCCTCGAGCGCGCGGATCGCCGCGGCGTTCGCGTTGACGACCATGTCGATCTCGAAATGCTCGTCCTCGGCCTTGAAGAGCGCCTCCTCGTGGGCGTTGCGCCGGAGCTGGAGCTGGCTGTAGTTGGCGTCGTCGCTGCCGATGGGCACGGAGACCCAGTCGTCGTTGAGCACGGCCGCGTCGAGCTCCGACCGCCGGCTGCAGACGACGCGCGGCACGGACTCGGGCAGCCGGCGGTAGCTCGGCGTCCGCCGGAGCTCGAAGGGCGAGTCGTCGCCGAAGTCGAGCTCCGACAGGGGCAGCGACGTCCAGTCGCCCAGCGTCTGCTGCTTGTTCGCGGCCTTGAGGCCGCGCCGGAGGATCTTGTCGCCCGACGCCACACTGCGGTCGTCGTCGCCCGCGTCGTCGGACCCGCCCGGCGGCGGCGTGCGCCGGCCGCCGCGGCCCGCGCCGCGCGTGCCCGGCCGGCCGCCGGACGCCGCGCCGCGCGTCGTCATCTGCGCGTCGCCGTCGTCGTCGAGCCCGCGGCCGACGCTCCCCAAATCGTCGTCGTCGTCGCTGCCCGCGCGCGGCGACTCCTCGCCGGACGTGTCGACGACGTAGCGCGGCCGCTTCGCCACGGAGGAGAAGAGCAGGGGGTCGTCGTCGCCCTCGGGCTCGACGCGCCGGCCCGGGTGCGCCGCGCGCTTGGCCAGCGCGAACGCCGCGTCGCGCCAGTCCGCAAAGGGGCCGACGCGCGACGACCGGCGGCAGAGCATGGCGACGTCGTCGACGAGGTGCTTGCCCTTGGGCGCGCCGTGGCCCCAGTCCACGACGTTGTCGACGATGGACCGCAGCAGCGCGCCGAACGCGTCGCCGTCGAGCGCGCCGCGGCTCACGGCCTCGAGGCCCCGGAGCACGGACCGCCACGCGTAGAGGCGCTCGCGCTCGAGGTCCGACGCGGGCACGTCGGCGACGAGGGACGGCAGCGCCGCGGCCTCGGCCTCCGTGAGCATGAGCTCGCCGAACTCGCTCTTCTTCCGCTTCCACTCGGCCTCGTCGTCGCCGCTGCCGGCGGCGTTCGCGTCCGCCGCGGCCCTGGCGTCGTCGACGTCCATGGCCACGGGCTCGGGCTTGACCTCGGGCTTGGCCTCGGGCGCCGCCGGGATCGCCGCGGGGATCGCCGCCGGGGGCGCCGCGGGGGGCGCCGCGGGGGGCGCCGCGGCGGCCGCGTCGCCCGCCGGGGCCGCCGGCGCGCCCGCGGGCGCGGCCGCGTCGGCCGCGGCCGCGGCGGGCGCGGCGCCCTCGGCCGGGACCTCGGGCGCCGCCGCCGCCGCCGCCGCCGCGGCCTTGTCCTCCTCGGCGAGGGCGTACATCTGGGCGAGCGCGTCCTTGGCGAGCGTGCAGTTCACGGGCGCGTCCCCGGGCTTCGAGTTGTCCTCGTCGCGGAGGTGCTTGTACTTGCGGCGCCGCAGGAACTGGTCGCGCTCGTCGTCGGACTTGTCCGAGTCGTGGTCCTTGAGCACCTGCTCCAGCGTCGGCAGGCCGCGGAGCGCCGGGTGCTCGGGCTTGGCGTCGGGCGGCGCGCCTGCGTGGAATTCAACCGCTGGTTTAAACTTCAGAATTCTCTAGCTCGATCACATCGAAGTCGATTCGGCTGATTTTTGGACGAATCGATTGCTCTCGTCGAGTCCTCGAAGCACAGCCGAAGAGCTCGCGTCGAAAATGCGCACATTGAAGTCGGGTTGAAGATTTGAATTCCACACGGCGGCGCGCGGCGCATCTTGTAGAGCGCGTTGCCGTAGGACGACCGGCCGAAGGTGCGCTTCGCGTCGGCGAGGGGGCCCAGGGCCCGCGCCAGGTGGCCGCTCCGCGCGCCGCCCCGGCACGCCTCGCCCGTCGCCGTGCCTTCGCCGACGAGCGCGAAGCGGAGCCGGCGGAGGATCGCGACCTCGTCCGCGCGCGGGCTCGCCGAGTCCGCGAAGCCAAAGTACTCGAAGCGCTTCTGCTTCGACGCCGCGAGCTCGGCGCGCGCCGTCGCGCGCGCGTCCGCCGCCGCGTCCCGCAGGTCGCCGAGCGTCATCGCGCCGCCCAGACCGCGGCGCGCGGGGCCGCGGCCCATCGCGCCGCGCGCCGCGCCGCGCGCCGCGCCCATCGCGTCCTTGGGCACGGACCGCTCGAGGGCGCGGTCGGCCCGCGACGAGCCGCCGACCGTGTTGTAGGGCCGCGAGTAGTCGCCGCCGCCGCCCTGGCGCGGGCCGCCGTCGCCGCCGCCGCGCTTCGCGCCGCGGCCGCCGCGGCCCCCGCGGCCCCCGCGGCCGCCGCGCCCGCCGCCGCCGCGCCCGCCGAAGGGCCGCGGCGCGCCGCCGGGGTTCCGCGACTCCGCGTCGGCCGCCGCGCGCTGGAGGAAGAGGCGCTGCGCGGGCTCGATGGCCGCGTCGGGCAGGAAGTACGTGAACTCGCGCAGCAGGTCCGCGTGGTCCCGGAAGAGCTCCGCGACGCGCCGCAGCACCTCCTGGATGCCCTTCTGCTCGCGCTGGTACGTGTGGAGCACCTCGAGGAAGGCCTTGTAGGTCTCGGGCTGGTGCTCGAACCGCTTCTTGATCGCCGTGACGTACGCGATCGCGTTGTCGAATTCCACCTAGACGTCGGTCGGCTGATGTGTCGACGGGCGGTCCTCTCCCGTCGTAGGCTCGAATGGTTCGCGGGGACGAAACGCGCGCGCGAAAGACTCGAGTTGAAGCGACGTCGAATCTCGACCCCGGAATTCGACCGGCTGGCGCGCGCCGTCGTCGCCGGGCCCCGGCTCCTCCTTCTTCGGCGGGGCCTTGGGCTTGGGCTTGGCCATGGCCTTCTTCGCCGCGGCCTGCTGGGCCGGCGGCAGCATGTTCTTGGGCCGCGCGCCGATCTCTCCGCGGAGCTGGTCCCGCAGCTCGACGGGCACGTCGATCTTGTAGCCCTCGGGCAGGAACGTGTTGAAGCCGTAGATGAGCTTGCCGTAGCCCTCGAAGAGCGTCGACACGCGCGCGATGACGCCCGGCGTGTCGATCTCCTGGCTCTTGAAGCTCTTCATGATCTCGAGGAACTCGTTGTAGATCTCGGGCTCGTCGCCGAACTCCGCCTTGACCTGGTCCAGGTAGAGGAGCGCGTCCTCGACCTAGGCGGTTGCGGGGGTGCGGTTGCGCGCGACCGCGAAGGTCTTCGGGGGGTGGGGGCGCGCGCGGCGGCCGTCCGGGGGGCGCGGTCGCGCATGTTTCTCCCGCGGACGCGATCCGCTCGATTCCCTCGGCGCGCACGCGCGCGAGGGCCTCCGGGGGGATGGGGGAGCGCGCGGCGGCCGAGTAGCGCGTGCTGGCGGTGCCCCGGGCCACTGAGCAATGCTTGCCGTTTGAAGGCAGTTCGGGCCCAGAAACCGCTCTCCCGTCCCGGCGCGCGGAGGGCGTCGCAGCTCGGCCGACGGGATGTCACAGTATTGGCGCATGGGACACCGCGCCGCGCCTTCAACTCGCGGAAATTACGGGCCGCCATCGTCTCTGGAAGAGCCTTTCAGCCGCTTGGAACGTGAATCGCGCTTCAAATGCCCCGCACGCGGCGGAACCCTCAACTTTGTTGCGTGCGCACGTCAGTACAATGTTCCGCGACACCTGGGCCGCGGTATGCTGCCCGGGATGTACTTGCGGCCCGCGCGGCAGCGCGACGGAGGGGCGAGGACACCCTCTCTCTCTCCCTCCAATTTGTCAGGCGCGGGCTCGCGCTCTGCAAGCGGCGACCCCCGGCGGCCTGCAAGCGCAGAGCTTTCGAGCTCCGCCTGAAGATACTCGCCGGGGGTCTTGACCCGGGTCCAGGTCACTGAAATGCCGAAGCCCTTCGGATTTCGTCCCCATCCGTGCAACCCCCCGGCATCCCCCGCCCGCGCCGCCCTCCGGAAGCACCACCCATTCCCATCTATGGACAAGTTAGAACAAAAACGGGCCGGGGCCTCGGTCGGACAGACGATGCGACGACGGAACGGGGCCTCGGCCCGGGTCGGAGAGACGATGCGACGACGGGTCGGTGCGGGCTACGAGAGCGCGCACTCGCACGAGGGCGGCGGCGGCGGGACGGCGCGGCTCGGGTTGACGTCGACGACGATGACGGTCGTGTCGTCCTTGAGGCCGCCTACGAAGGGACGCGCGTCGGCCGAAAAAAATCAAAAAAAAGCGGCACCCACCGTAGCCCGCGTTCTTCGAGTCGCGCGTCGCCGCGCGGAGGAGCTTCTCCGCGGCCCGCTGGGGGTCCGCGACGCGGCGCACCATCTTCTCCGCGGCCGCGGGCGACACGAGGTCCCAGAGGCCGTCGGAGGCGAGGATGACGCGGTCGAAGACGGCGTCGCCGGCGGCGTCGTCGGCCGCGGGCAGGGGCCACGTCGCGACCTCGGGCTCGGGGATGACGGCCCGGCTCGCGTCCCAGTCGCCGATGGACCGCGTCACGACGGTGGACGCGCCGTCGCCGCGCGTCCAGTTGCCCTGGACGACGAGCGGGCCCTCCTGGCCCGACTTGCCGTAGCGGCGCGTGAACGTCGAGTCGCAGCGCTTGAGGTTGATGGCCTCTGCGACGTCGTGGCTCGGCTTCTCGCGCGCGGCGTTGGCCAGGTTCGCGAAGGACGCCTTGCGGACGACGTTCTCGCGCTCGAGGCGGTCGTCGATGCGGCGCTCGCGGCGGAGCGCGTCCGCGACGAGGCCCGGCCGCATGGGCTTCTCGCCCGAGGCCAGGGCCTTCTTCCGGAGCCGCGCCTCGTAGATGCCGCAGAACTCCGCGAGCCGCGCGTCGTCGTCGCCGTCGCCGGCCGCGGCGCCCGTCGGGCTCTCCCACGTGAGGAGCTCGCTCCGCGCGCCCCACTCGGCGCGCATGCGGCTCACCTCGGCGGCGTTGCTCGGGTTGTGCTGCGTCGTCGACAGGCGGCCCCGGGGCGCGCGGCCGGGCGCGCCCGCGAGCATGTCGAAGCGGTACGCGCACGAGTCGCCGACCCACGCGAGGAGGCAGGAGCCGTCGGAGGAATCGGCGTCGACGAAGAGGCACGTCGCCGTCGTGCCGCTGTCCACGGCCAGGGACCCGAGGCGGTCGTCGAGCTCCCAGCACGCGGCGACGAGCCCCGCCTCGAGGCACGCCGCCGCGCGCTTCTCCGGCGACCGCGCGGCCTCCTCGGCGGCGCGCTTCGCGGCGACGTCGTGGAGCTCCGCCGCGCAGAGGTCCGCCGCGCCCTTGCCGCCGTGGCCGTCGTAGAGGCCGAAGTAGAGGAACGTGCGCTCGCCGACGCGGCAGGCGCCCACGCGCGTCCGGTCCTCGTCCTTCTTCCGCGCGCCCATCTGGCTCGCCACGCCGTGCGTCACCGCGACCCGCTTGGGCGGTCCGGCCGGCGCCGGTGCCGGGCACATGGCCGCGCGCGCGCGGCGGCGCGGCGTCTCGGCGAGGAGCTCGGCGTCGACGTCGCGACGACGTTCCTCGGCGCGCACGCGACTGTGCCCGGGCTGCCAGACGATTGTACGATAGTCAGCTGTTAGAATGCAGCACGAGTGCAGGCAATATTGGCGCGCTGGGTGCTCGCGAACTTCAATATTTTAGCGTCAACCCGAAGATACGTGCCTCGGACGATGCAAACCTTTTTTCAAGGCGCGACGTGTGCCTTGACGGCGCCGCCGCGACGCGCCGCGCCGGAACCCCCCGGGCGCTTCGCGAAATTACATCCAAAATCAGAGCGCGTCCGCGAGGGCCGGCGCGAGGAGGTCGTCGAGGTACGTCGGGTGGAGGTGCGTGCCGTCGAGGCAGTAGCCCGGCTTGAGCCCCGTCTCGTCGAGGAAGCCGTCGAAGAAGTCGAGCCAGACGAGGTCCGACGCCTCCACGAGGGCCCGGAGGACCGCGTTGTACTTCTTGACCATGTCGCGCGTCTCGTCGAGGACCGGCGGCACGGGGTGCACGAGGCCCTTCGCGTAGCCGCGCTCCTTGCAGAGCTTGGACGCCTTGTCGACGAAGATCGCCGCCGTCGCGACGATGCCCGCGTCGACGTCCGGGTAGCGCAGCTTCTCGACGGCGACGAGGATGCCCTCGCGGCAGTCGATCTCGCCGAGGACGAAGAGCACCGTCGCGCCCCGCGGGATCGTACCCGCGGGCGCGTCCCGCGTGCCGCCGCCCGTTCCCGGGAAGAGGCCCAGGTCCGCGGCGACCGCCGGCGACGAGCAGGCGGCCGCGTCGAGGCCGACGACCGCGTAGAAGTTCCGCTTCGGGTAGAAGCTCCCCTCCGCCCGCAGATGCCAGTGCTTCAGGCCCGTCACGAGCGCGGGCCGGAGCCGCGCGATGCCCCTGGCGCCCAGGTCCAGCGTCTTCCAGGCCGGCGCGAGCGCGTGGCTGTCGCCGCAGACGTAGACGTCCGCGACGCCCGGCGGGTTCGGCGCGCCGAGCGGCGGCGGCGGCCCGCGCGCGTCCACGGCCAGGATCTGCGCGACGCAGCAGTAGTAGGCGTGCTCGTTGCGGATCGTCGTCTCGTGCAGGGCCTTGGCGCTGCCCCGGCGCGTCGGCTCGAGCGCCGCGATCAGCGCCGTCGCGCGCGCGAGGCCGCCGCCGAGGTACAAAATCTTCACGACCGCGAAGAGGAGCGCCAGCACGTCCAGCGCGTCGTCGGAGAAGAGCTCGGCCTTCGTCGGCCGCGCGTCCTCCTGGCCGCGCACGACGGCGTACGCGCCGGGCTTCTCGTCGACCCAATCTAAAGCTAAATCGTCGCCGGCGACGAACGCCGCGGACCCGAAGTTCCCGCGGCCCTCGAGGGGCTCGAGGCAGGCCTTGAGGGACACGCCGTGGGCGCCGACGACGCCCTTCTTCTTCTCGAGGAATTTCACGGCGACGCGCAGCGCCGCGTCGTAGTCGTTCAAAATTTCGTGCGCCTGTGTGCTTCGGGTCGCCACCAACCTCCAAACTCACTCGCTCGATGGAATCGAAGCCGTTTTGGCTCTCTCGCCGAGCTCTGGAAGACGCGCCGCCGCAACCGATTCATATTGAAGTCGGCTCGAAGATTCGACGCGGCCGCGAGCGTGCACCAAATTCAGCGCGTAGGACGCGGAGCTCGGCCGCTCGCCCCAGGCCCAGGCCAACAGCTCGACGGCGACCTCGACGTAGCCGTGGTCCTTGGCGATGGTCGCGAGGAAGGCCACGGCCGCCGCGGACTCGCCCTTGGCGCCGAGCTGGCGCCGGAGCCTCTCGACGCCCCGGGGCTCGCCGAGCGCGCGCGCGAGCGCGTGGCGCGCGTCCTTGTCGTTCTGGTCCGCGACGACGGCGCGCAGGAGCAGCGACAGCTCGTCGTCGAGCTTGCCCATCTCGCGCGCGATCGCCGCGTAGCAGCACGCCGCGGCGACGTGCTGCTGGTCCGCGCCGAGGACCTTCTCCGTGAGCTCGCAGGCCTCGTCGACGTCGCCCTCGGCGAGGAGCACGCGCGCGAGGGCGACGACGACGTCGGCCTCGGCGACGGCGTTGGCCGCGTCGCGCGCCGCGAGCGCGCGGCGGAACGCCTTTTGCGCCTCGGTCCACCGGCCGAGGTACGCGTGGCAGCGGCCCAGCGCGTAGGCGTCGCGCCGCTCCTTGGAGGCGGCGAAGAGGTCCGCGAACTGGGTCGCGGCGCCTTTGTGGTCGCCGCGCGCGAGCGCGATGGCCGCGAGGCCCCGCGCGGCGTCGCGCGAGCCCGGCGCGGCCTCGAGGATGGCCTCGTAGAGGTGCTTCGCCGTCTTCAAGGCCTTGCCCGCGCGCTGCGTGTCCGCGCGCTTCAAGAGCTTCTTCATGAGCTGCGTCGCCTCCTGCTCCTGCGCGCTGGGCTTCGGCTTCTCGGGCGCGGCCGCGGGCGGCGGCTTCGGCGCCGCCACGGGCTTCGGCGGCGGCGGCGGCGGCGCGGGCGCTGGTGTCGGCGCCGGTGCGGGCTTCGGCTTCGCCGCGCACCGCGTCACGAAGACGTCGCTCTTCGCCTTGAGCGACGCCCAGCTCGACGCCGCGAGCACGAGGCCCTCGTGCCGCGCCTCCAGCGCCTCGAGCGGCGCCGCCGCCGGGTGCTTCTTCGCGAACTTGGCGCAAAACTTTGCTAACGCATCGTCGAGCGGCGCGTCGGTTTTGGCCTTCATCGTGAAGGCCGGCTCGTCGATGTGGAGATAGACTGCGGCCATCGCGGCGGTCAGTTGATCGCTGCACTTTGTCGCTGCTTTGCCTCAACTTGAAGCAGCTACACTGGACAGCTCTGCCTTAGAGCGTCCTGCGGATGGGGGGACTTCGAAGGGGGGGGGGCTTGTCGCTCAGGCGTCGGGGCTCGCGTCGGGGCCGGGCTCGCCGCCGCCGGCGGACTTGACGATGCGCCCGATGCGCTTGAGGAGCGACCCGGGCTGCTCGCCGAAGATGAGCTTCGAGAGCGGCTTGTCGAGCGACGCGTCCATGAGCCCGTTGCTGTGGTGCTCGGCGACGACGGTGCGTTTGCGGTCGGCGGCGCCCTCGTGCTCGGACTGCGTGATCGCGAGGCGGTGGTCGTTGTCGCGGATGATTTCGACCTGCTTCTCCTTGTTCGTCTGGAAGCGGACGAGCGCCGGGTACTTCTTGTGGGAGGCCATCTGGAGGAGGTCCGGGTAGTCCTTGTAGTCCTCGGGCGTGATGCCGTGGCGGTCGGGCTTGTTCAGCTTCTCGCGCAGGGCCTCGTAGGCGGACTTCGCCGCGACGTAGCGCTGCTCCTCGACGTACTCGAAGCGCTGGTGGCCGGGCAGCGTCAGCGCCTTCGGGTGCGCGAGGTACTCGGTCGGCTTGACGCCCCACTCGTCCGGCAGGTCCTGGAGGTCGACGCGCGCGCGCTTGACCGCGAGCTCGGCCGCGAGCTCCACCAACGCGCGCGGCCGCTTGACGCCGCCCGTGACGCCGCCCGCGCCCGGCTCCGCGTCCGCGCCCGCGTCCGCGCCCGGCCCGAACGCCTCCTTCTCGAGCGCCGCGACCTTATTCGTGAAGACGTCGAGCGTGGCCAGGATCGTCTCGAGGCTGCCCCGCTCCTCGGGTGCCGCCTCGAGGAGCCGCTCGATGCGCGCGCGCAGGGCCAGGGGCTCGTCGTCGGTAGCTTGGGGCGTCGTCGAGGCCATGCTGATGAGGAGGGCGGACTGTGTAGCGGGGTCGACGGCGGCGTCGCAGAGCGTCGAGGGCAGCCAAGGGTGGAAAACGTCGGCTCGTTTTTAACGTGGATCTCCTAGTTAGGCTATTGGCGCGCGGCCGCGGTGGAACTTGTCGCGGACGCCTGGGCGGCCTCTCCCAGCAGGCATGGCAGCGAGGTCGGCGGCGCGTGGCCACTCGTGCTGCGGCGACGGTGACGGCGTCGCGTACCGATGTGTCGGACGCGTACCTGCCTGAAGGCCGGGCGCACCGGCGTCCGACGAAGTTCGTTGGGACTTGGCATCTGCGAGCGCCCGCGACATCTCCGCGACGCCGCCGACGCGACGTTGGACCTCGGCATCCGCGCGATGGGCGGCGTCGGCTACGTGCGCGCGCGCGCGTGCGAGAGCCCATGAGAGAGGAACGTCGCTGCGCCGCCGGCGCGCCGCCGCCCCCGCCCGCCGCCGCGAACGCGCCGCGAACGACGCCCCCGCGCCAGGTCTCGAACACGACGAAGATGCCGCTCCGCGTGAACACGGACACGGACCTCCATGCGAAGCTCCGCGGCATGACCGCGAACCTGCAGAAGGCGCACGGCACGATGCTCGAGGTCATCGGCCGGCCGTCGCCCGACAAGGAGAACGCGGGCGACGCGCCGCCCCCGCCGCCCCCGGCGACGCTCTTCTCGCCCTGCGTCACGACGACGGCGGAGTCGACGATGCGCGCGCCCGTCGTCGTCGAGACGCGGAAGGAGGAGCGGCCCACGGTCGCGGAGCCGGAGCCGGCGGTCGCGGAGGAGCCGGAGCCCGTCGTCGTCCGCCCCGCCGTCGCCGTGTCGCCCGCGCCCGCGCCGACGGTCTACCGCTCGGGCTGGAGCAACGCGGACCGCGCCGCGGACAGCGTCAAGCGCCACACGTACTCCGCGGACTACAAGCAGGGCACGTTCCAGTTCCTGCCGTCGGCGGACGCGCCCAAGGTCAAGCTGGCGCCGAAGAAGGCCAAGGCCGCCGTCGAGGAGGAGGCCAAGGCCGCCGTCGAGGAGAAGCCCGCCGTCGTCGAGGCGGCGGCGCCCGCGGCCGAGGAGGAGACGAGCGTCGAGGAGGAGCGCGCGGCCGCGGAGGCCGTCGAGGCCGAGTACGAGGACGAGGTGCTGCCCGTCGAGTACGCCGAGGACGAGGCGCCGGAGCCCGAGTACGAGGACGAGGTCCTGCCCGTGGAGTACGCCGAGGACGAGGCCGCGGCGCCGGAGCCCGAGTACGAGGACGAGGTGCTGCCCGTCGAGTACTGCGCCGAGGACGAGGAGGACGACGACGACGAAGAAGAAGACGACGACGACGACGACGAGCTGGACGAGGAGACGCTCATCTCGACGGTCGTCGCGGGCCACGAGACGCCCGCCAAGGCCGAGGCGTCCGACGAGGAGGACGAGGACGAGGAGGTCGAGGCGAACTGGGCCAAGGTCGCGCGGCGCCGGTCCGACGCGCGCGCGTCGCTCGGCGGCGCGTCGGAGAAGAAGGCGAAGCCGCGCGCGGCGGGCTGGGCCGCGGCGTGGGACGCGCTCCGCGCCGCGATGGAGAAGAACGAGCCCATCGGCGCGGCGGCCGAGGACCTCGCGTCGGACGGGTCGCGCGTGCTGAGCGACGACGAGAAGGAGGTCTTCTGCGACCTCATGGCGAAGCACGACTTCGGGAGCGACGCGGCCGCGCCCGAGGACTTCCCCTCGCCGACGCACGCGTTCGAGTTCTGCGGCGACGTCGCGGCCCGCGCGGAACCAAAATCTTTGACCCGACTTCAATGTGATCGTATGCGGCCGTTTCGACGCGCGAGCTTCGGCCGTGCTTCGAGAACTCGAAGGGAGCCATCGATGCGTCCAAAAATCAGCCGAAACGACGTCGATTCGACCGGGCTCGAGAGTTTCGAAGTTTGGCCGGGACCCCCGGATTTCCCCGCAGGTCGCGGCGCTGGCCAAGGCGCCGCCGGCGCCGGTCGCCGCCGACGCGTCGGACCTCTTCGCGAGCCTCGACGCCGAGGAGCCCATCCTCGAGGAGCGGCCCGAGGACGTCGCGGCCGAGGCGGGCGACGACGCGCCGCGGCCCTCCGAGGAGACGGCCGCGTCGCAGCAGTCGCTCCGCCTCGCCGTCGTCAAGGCCATCCGCACGGTCGCCGCGGAGGAGCTGGAGTCGGAGGTGACCCAGTTCCACAAGGAGACGGGCCTCTACCGCATCGACTCCAAGGTCGTCGTCGCCGACGGCTCCGTCGTCTGCATGGCCGTCGAGCGCGACTTCGCGGACTTTGGCCGCTGCCGCGACGGCCTCCGGGGCAAGCTCGTCGAGGAGCCGGGGGGCAAGGCCCTCGCCGACGCGCTCCTGGGCAAGGTGCCGAAGAAGCGCATGAAGTCGCTCCTCAAGGCGCGCGCGCGCGACTTCGCCAAGGGCGCGCAGAAGGGCGAGATGAAGTGGCAGCTCAAGCAGCGGCCCAAGCTCGACGACTGGCTCGCGACGGCCGTCGACCTCGTCGTCAAGATCAAGCAGACCGACGTCGTCAAGCGCTCCAAGTTCTCCTTCTGCGGCGGCTTCGACCACTACGAGATCGAGGACTACCTCAAGTGCTTCCTCCTCCAGGGCGCCTTCTTCACGGGCATCCACACGAACAAGGCCAAGTGCGCCGGCGGGAAGATGTCGGTGTAGAGCGGGAGGGGGCGTCGCCGCGCCCGTAAGCCTGTGCTCTCGCGCCCTCCCCCGGCGCCGCGCGGACGACGGGGTCGAGATGCACGGGGTGCTAATACATGCTTACGGGGACCATCCGTCAAGTTCGTGCGTAAACACATGGCCCGGACCATACTGTTGGGCATAGTCCGCATCGATATGAAAGACGAGCGAGCCGGCGCCGCCCGTATAATCATCGAACGCGAGCACGCTTGGCGGCGCGTCCTCGATGGCCCCAAATTCCACATCGCCAGCGGCATCCTCGATCACCTTGAGTTGCGATTGCGCGCGGCTGCGACTCTGCGACGACGCGGAATTCCAGGTGTCGTTGTTCGACAGGTGCGCGGAGGCGCTCCGACCGTGGCCCGGACAAAACTGGAAAACTCGAATGCCCTCGGGGCTGACCTTGGCCAAGGTCCACAGCAGCAAGGCTCCATCTCGGCACTTCGGTACGCCAATGCCTTCCTCAAAGAGCCGACCGAGCTCGTATGCGGCTAAGCCGTCCGTCCCGCCACGATCTGAGTATTGCAGTACTCCAGTCAATTCTCCGCACGCTCTGTAGAGGGACAGCGCTGCAAGACGTGCGTGGTCGTCGTCGTCCTCGCCGGCCACCGCGAGAGCCGCGTGGCAGAGTCCCAATGCGTAGTGAGAATGGTCGATATCATTTGGGTCCTCCGCCCGGTAATCCGCGACGGCAGCTCGCTTGATCAACTGAATCGCGCGGCGCGCATCGGCCGGCGTCGCGTCCTCAGAGTAACGCACCAATTCCCCGAGGATGCGCATAGAATAGTGAATAGGGTCGAAATCATGGTCGAGCAGAATAGTGAATTGGGGGCGTGCGCGCCCAATCGCGATCTCGAGATGACCGCGGGCAATCGCGCACGACCGAGCGACGCCGAGGCCGTCGCGGTAGAGGATCGCGAGCTGGAAGCGCGCGCAGTCGCACGCCGCCGTCGCATCCGAGAAGATGTGACAAGGGAAGGCGTCCGTCGGGAACGTCTCGTAGGCCAGGGCTAAGTGCAGGGCGCGGGCCGCGAGCGCCGGAGACGGGCGCGGCGTTTCAGATCGGTTTGATCCGTATCCGCCCTCGGCGAGCGCCGCGCCAAATACCACCAATGCCTCGATGTTGCGGGTCGCCGTCGCCATCGCGACGATCTTGTACGCATCGAATCTATTTTCTTGCGCGACCACCTTGTTCAAATCGACGAGCGAAACACTGGGTCGAAGCGCCGCCAACGATTTGTTCGCTGCTAAAGCGGGCCAGATCTCCCAGAAGCGGAGGCACGGGAGCAAATAGGACGTCCAGACCACCGTGGGAAGTTCGTCGAGGCGAGGGGGCATTGTGCGCGCGCGGCCGGGTCGCGAGGGTCGCGACGGGCGCTCTTGCCACAGTGACTCGCTCTTATGGCTGCGCCGCGGAAGTCAATGAACGCCTCTTGAAACAGTTCCAAATTCAACCATAGGCGTAGGACCCCCCAATAGAAGTATTATTTATTATTCTGAGGCGGGACGCGTTACTACTCTGTACGTAGACCGCGCGCGCGCGTGGTCCGGTGAACTTCAATTTGGTTCGACCCTAGGCAAAATCGGTCGAATATATCATACTGAGTCAACCACGGCTCGTTAAATTGTATAATCGCATCGATTCCGACGTGTTTCAGGCGCGGGTCGCGGGTTCGGGCCGGGGAAACGTAGAGAGGCAACTTCAACATTGCACTGATCGTGCAAACTTTTTGACCCAGGACTATTCGGATTTTATTTTGAATTCGGCACTGCGCCTCAATGAGCTCTGGGCCGCACTGCTAGGAGGCCTGCTAGGCCGTCCAATCTCGTGAGACAATTCACGCGTCTGAAGTTTATCACAATGTTTGCGCGCGGGGGGAGGGAGATGCGGTGGGCACGCGGACTCGGTCGCGAAGGTGACTGGTGGCGAGGACGCGCCGCGGGATGCGCGGGCCGGCTCCGGAACCTGGTCGTCGTTCGGCAGGCCGCGTGGTCGATCGGCAGGCCGTCTACATTCACTCGGCGCGCGCGCGCTTGCGCGCGCGCTTCAACGCGCGAAACACATCCTCGATTTGATCGCACGCCCCGGCCTTTTCGCGGTTCTCCTCGGCCTTCGAGCGGTTCTCGCGGACCTGCTTCTCGAGCTCCGCGATCGTGGCCTTGTCCTTGATGCGCTCGGCCTCGAGCGCCTTGACCTTGTCCTGGAGGCTGCCAACCTCGTCGAGGAGGCACTGGACCGGGTACACGGAGACGGGCGACGGGCTCGGGCTCGGGCTCGTCTCCGACGTAGAATCGTCGCGCGGCGCGCCGGGGGCGTTGCGCGGGAGGAAGGGGATGCGCTTCGGCGGGGCGCCCTCCTGCTCGGCGTCCGAGTCAGCAACCGTGATCGCGTCGCGCATCAGCTCCGCGTCGCGGGCCTTCGCGGAACGCGAGCCCGTGATGACGCAGTCGCCCTCCGGCTCCTTCGACGCCGCGGGCGGCGGCCCGCGAAGGATGCGACAGTCAGCGGGTGGCGCCGCGTCCACGCGCCGCACGGGCCGAACCCCGCGTCCCGCGGCGAGGAGGGCCGCCATGGTGTTCTGCATACGCTCTGGTGCACACTTCAGTCGCGACGATGATTCCACGGAATCGCGTTTTTCGCCGCAGTCACTTGGCGAAGGCGAGGGAGTCCTCCCGAGGGACAGGTCTGCCGCTAGCAACTCCGAGGCAGCGACGCGCTCAAGGTTCGTGCGAAAGCGTGTCTTAGTCTAGTGCGCGCGATTGTCCTACAGGGTGATGGCGCGGCGTCGCGTAGCCGGTCCGCGGGCGAGAACTCGTCCTCCTCGTCGCGGGCTGGCCGCGCGGTGCGCAGCATCATTGGGGTTGGGGTTCTTTGGTGCCTGCTTCAGAGCGCTCGGGAGCCGTTCCCTCCCTTGCGACTTTAAAGCTGGCATGCTCGCGTTGCTTCCTCTCTCAGAGCCTCGTCCGCTCGTCGTTCGGATGCCGCGCGAGCGGTCTTTGGTATCTTGTCTTTTCCGTGGCTTGACGCCACGAGGAACGCAAATTCGGAGCCGTTCCCTCCTCGTTAGCGTCCGCAAAGCCACCGCACAGCTGCCGCAGGGACTGACTTGGAGAGCGTCCGTCCTTCGTCGGTCAATGCGGCGTGTGCGCGGCGGGGGTCTTGTAGTCTTTTCCGTAGGCTTCGCTACGACGAACGCCAGGGCGTCCGCGGGGCCGCCGCGCACAGGTGCGCGGCGGCGGGTCTTGGGGTCTTAACAGGGCACGTGCAGCCCTGCTCTTTGTGTGTAACGTAGCTCGAGCCGCGTTTTTAGAAACGCGTCTGGTCCTTCGTCAGCTCGAGCGACTTGCGAGCTAATTCGATTGCCCGCCTGTGTGGAATTCAAATATTCAACTCGACTTCAATGTGATTATATGCGACAGTTTCGACGCAAGCCCTTCGGCTGTGCTTCGAGAACTCGACGAGAGCAATCGATTCGTCCAAAAATCAGCCGAATCGACTTCGATTTGATCGAGCTAGAGAATTCTGAAGTTTGGTCACAACCACCCAAACCAGTCGTTGAATTCCACACAGTTGCGGACGTCGACGCAGAAAGGCTATCGATACCATCGGGTAAACCGATGGGGTCCCGCAAGTAGTTGCCGAGCCCCCCCACCAGGCGGACGGGCGAGCCTCTGTTTTCTAAACCGCTCGCATTCAATGAAGCATTCAACGGTTCGAGCGGCGCGAGCAAGTCCGTGGCCTGATAGCCACGCCTTTGTGGCGACGGCGACCGAGGCGCCGTGATCGGCTGGCTGTAATACTTGGGCGCAGTCACCTTGGGAGTGCGAGGGCCGACAGGCGGCGGCAGGGCAACGATGGTGCGCGTCGGCGCCGCCGGTAACGTCGCTGACGTCGGAGGCGAGAGCTCCGGCAAGCGCGTGGGCGACTTGCGCTCCTTCTCTTCGGCCCCGTCTTCCACGAGGATCCGCGCGGAGGCCTGGGACACGACGTAGCCGCCCTTCTTCGGCTTCAAGCACATGCTCTTCCGGAGCCGCGTGTGGACGGGCTCGGCCAATGCGCAAGTGAATGATCTATTCGCGGGCACGTGGTTTTGGAGATCGTTGAATAGGCACGCGAGCAGCGTGACCATGGGGGTCGTCTCCTGGGCACTCTTGACGATCTGGGCGGCGCCGTGCGGAGCCTTGGACCCGAGGAAGGCCCGCCGACCAAATCGCGCCGTCGTGACGACGCGGTACGTCCTCGATTTCAATATTGGCCGCCCATTGTATATCATGCCATCTTCCTTCTTGATCCGTCGTCCGGGACGTTGTTCCGGGTTGAAAACGATCTTCAGCGCAGAGTTCACGTGGGCGAAGTCGTCGCTTAGGTTCGGATACCTCGCGAGCGCGAGCTCCAGGGCCACCCTTATTTGCAGACCTGTAGCGTCGAGGACCAAGAGCCCCGGGCCGTCGCAGGCTGCAGCGGCGATGTCGTCGTCGTCCGACTTCTTGAAAGGTTCGACGTAGACGCCGCCGCCCGAGCGGCCGTTGTCGATTTTCACGGGCCCGGGCGGCACGACCGCGCGGCCATCGTCATTTTCGAAGGGCGCGAGCGCGAGCAGCTCTCCGAAGCTCAGAGGCTTTTTTGCCGGAACCTCTCCGATCGAACGGAGGCATCGCCCGTCCAAGATCGCAATATCCGCCCGATAAGCAGCCGCTGCCAAGTCTGCAGCGAGGTCCGCGGCAGACCCGCCCGCCGCCATGCGTCGGCCGGAGCTAATTGTTCGGCCGCCTCGCAGGGCTTCGGCAGAAGCATCAAACGGGACGTCGAACGACGCCGCCGCGGGCTGCGTGAGAGCTTTAGCGACAGCGCGGTGCGCCACAACCGCCAGCCGTCCAACGCTGTCGATGGCGCGCGAGCCGGGAGCGCACGAGACCGCTGTCAATGAAGCATGGCTCAGCATCCGGCCAGGGTCCGGCAGTGAGATTTCAAATTTCAGGAGACAAGAAAGGTTCGTCGGAGCCCTGACGCAAAAGCAATTCCGGCCGGCGCCAACCTCATACTTCGTCGCTCCCGGGGCTCCGCCGCGAGGGCCAGAGACGATGATAACATCCGCCGCGCCTCCGCAAGCGTGCGCTAGCACTGAGCCGCGGTCGCCCGGACCGTGGCCGCCGCCGATGGCCGCGAGACAGATGACAATCTCAGCTCCTTTCTGCCGCAACTCGGCGCCCAAGCGCTGGATAGCGCGGGCTTCCGGTTCCACGCGCACTTGGGTGCCTGCGAGGGAATTCGATCTCGCGCGCGGAACGACGGCCGTCGCGGACGCGGGAACGCGCTGTAGCCCTTTCCAGTGGAGAAGCCCGTGCCCGTCGCGATCTCCACGGTGGCCGTGTCCGCGAGACTCTTTTCGGAGCTCACCGCGATCAATCCGATCCGTCGGCCCGCCCAATGGACGATGCGCGACGCTTGCGTGCCCTTCAGCGGCTCGCCCGTCCGCGCCTCGACGACGTTGGAGAGCAACAGGGGAAAGTTCAGCGAAGCAGCGACGCGCTCCAGATTCTGCACCCCATGGTCGAAGTCGGACGGGCCGACGCCGCCGCTGTAGACGCCCAGCGCGTTCAGCGTCGGAACGAGATGGTCTCCCTTCGTGACCGTTCCTTCGAAACTCGAGCCTACGAAGCATGACGCATTAAGATTTCTCATTGTTTTCCCAGCCCAAATCTCTCGAAATCACGGCCACAGGAGACGCTGGCTCGCGAACCGAAGGAATTCCCCGTGAAGAGCACGAGAGGCTCGCGCCCGTCGCATTTGTTCCTCTCGTCCTCGATGGCGGCGCACAGACGAGCGCCCGCTCCCGAGACCTTCCTTTTCTTGCCGCTCGAGCCTGAGCAAGCATGGTTTAAAACGCCGTCGCGGCCACGGGACGCGAAGACCTCTATAAAATGGGACGCGGGGTACGAACGCATCACGCCGTTCAAACCCCCAGACAGGTCTCCGAACAAGAATAGCGGCAGTCCCGTGCCGCCGCCACTCAAGAGCTTTTCTTCGCGTAACTCCCCGAGCTTCTTCAACTTGTTCGCCAGCGCGGTCTCGATGGCGGCCTCCCACTCCGCGGCGTCGATCTCGCCGTCGCGCGACGTGTCCAAATCTTCGAGCGCCTGCGCGAGCCGTGCGGGGACCAGCAGGTACTGGAGATTCTCGTTGCCGCAGGTCCGCAAAAAGTCGATGACCTTCTGGTCCGTCTGGACGGCCGTCACGATCTCGTGCTTGTCGAGGGAGCCGGACTCGTCGACGTCGATCATGTCGAAGACCTCGCGCGCGGCGCTGAGGAACTCCAAACTGAACGCCGCGTCCTCCGCGGCCGCGGCGCGCTCGCGGCGGTCCCGCTCCTCGGCGAGCTTCGCGAGGCGCACCTTGAGGCCCCGGTTGATGGCCTCCTCCCACTCGTCGACGTCGACCTCGCCGTCCTTGGACGTGTCCAGGACCTGGAGCGCCTTCTCCAGGCGCGCCGGTACCAGCAAAAACTGCAGATTCTCCTCGCCGCAGGTCTCGAGGAAGCCCTTGACTTCCGGGTCCGTCTGCACGGCCTTGACGATCTCCGTCTTCGTGAGCGTGCCGCTGTCGTCCTTGTCGATGAGCTGGAAGCAGTGCCGCGCGGCCCCGAGGAACTCCTGGCTGAACGCCTCGTCTTCCGCGCGCGCGCGCGCCTCGCGAGCCGCGCGCTCGTCGGCGAGCTGCGCGAGCCGCACCTGGAGGCCCCGGTTGATGGCCTCCTCCCACTCCTCGACGTCGACCTCGCCGTCCTTGGACGTGTCGAGCACCTCGAGCGCCTTCTGGAGGCGCCGCGGCTGGAGCAAGAACTGCAAATTGGGCTCGCCGCACGTGCGCAGGAACGTGATCACGGTCTCGTTCGACTGCACGGCCTCGACGATCTCCGCCTTGGTCAGCGTGCCGCTGTTGTCGACGTCGATCATCTGGAAGCACTGGCGCGCCGCGTTCAAGAACTCGGACGTGAATTCCTCGATCTCCTTCTGCGCGGCCTTGGCCTTGGCCTCGCGGTCCGCGGCGCGGGCCTCGAGCTTGTTCGCCAGGGCCGTCTCGATGGCCGACTCCCACTCGGGCATGTTGATCTCGCCGTCGCGGTCCGTGTCGAGCGTGTTGAGGGCCATCTCGAGCCGCGCGGGCACCAGCAGGTACTGCAGATTCTCGTTCCCGCAGTTCACCAAAAAGTTGATGACCTTCTTGTCCGTCTTTACGGCCTTGATCACCTCCGCCTTGTCCAGCGAGCCCGAGTCGTCCTTGTCGATCATGAGGAACACCTCCCGGGCCGCGTTCAAAAACTGAGCCGTAAAGGCTTCGTCCTCGGCGCGCGCCGCTCGCTCGCGGCGCTCGCGCTCTTCGGCGAGCTGCTCTAAGCGCTTCGCCAGGCCGCGGTGGATCGCCTCCTCCCACTCGTCGATATCCACCTCGCCGTCCTTCGACGTGTCCAGCACCTCGAGCGCTTTCTCCAGGCGCGCGGGCACGAGGAGGAACTGCAGATTCTCCTCGCCGCAGGTGCGCAGGAACTTGACGACGTCCTTGTCCTCCGCCACGGCCTTGACGATCTCCGTCTTCGTGAGGG